CTGACTAGAATAAAGTAGAACAAACTGTTGTGTGTTATCTGACTAGAATAAAGTAGAACAAACTGTTGTGTGTTATCTGACTAGAATAAAGTAGAACAAACTGATGGGTGTTATTTGACTAGAATAAAATAGAACAAACTGTTGTGTGATATCTGACTATAATAAAGTAGAACAAACTGTTGTGTGTTATCTGACTAGAATATAGAATTGGTATGATTTGGCGCTCGACTCGCAATCTGCATGTTGCGGGTTTAAATGTCATCACAAAACATGCTCGCTCTTTCGGCCGTGGGGGTGTTATAATGTGAAAGTCATTCCCATTATTCGACTAGAGTATTTCAAAAGTTATCTTCCTTCTAGGGTCTAGTCTATGACTTCTAAATTACGGACAGTTAGCGCAGATAGCTCTCGAGAACCTTTGCGCGAAATTCAACAAACAAATGCTTGTGGCTGTTTGAACATTTCGCTACCAAAAAGTGGTAATTCTTTGAAAGACATTAACTTTCAACTATCCGAAATTAGAGAAACTATCTAAAGACGTGTAACTTATGTAGTTAACTGTAAAGAATTGTACGACAAGTAGAGTGAGCTTACATTAAGTATGTCACTCTTTTATTTAATTCATTGTGATCGCTACCTCTCTTACTCGTTTTTATAATCCAAGGGCCTTCTTTTATCCAGTTGTTCTTAAGAGCATGCTGTGTATTTTGTTTAAAGTCTGTGTGTCTCACTCAATCTGTGCTCTGCCCGGTTTCTAGCATTGTAAGTCCGCAGACATACCGCTGTGCCAGACATACCGCTGTGCCACTGGGAGGCTAATGTGTACGAGAAAGAAAGATCTACCGTTTGTTATTATTCTGGGATTTTTTATTGTTGATTTTAATTTTTCAAGAAATAAACTATTAGGAAGATTTCATGTTTATATCTTGTGGAATTTTCAACTCAAATTTAAATCTACAATTTTTCGTTAAGATCAACCTTTAAATTTCCCAATTCGTATCTCAATGAATAATTTGTCCTTTTCGCAGTTTGTCTTCAATATAACTTCCGTACATAAGCTGTCTTTAAAGAAATATCTTCTTATTTAAAGGTACAAAGATGTCTATTAACATGCAATGATAGTTTATTTTGTTTAGAAATGTATTACCGATAAAGTGTAGTGGCTTTCAATATTGAGAGATTATTAAAGTTCATAAACTTTTTTATATAAAATATAGCAATATTCTAGCCGCCCCCTCCTCGTGGCTCAGTGTCAAGTCCAAGGGCTTAAAACTCTCAAAATTTGGTTTCGATACCTGTTATGAGATACCCCATTGTGCTTAACAACAAATAAACAAATTATCGGATCAAATGGTTTTCAACGTTGTTGTGTCGTTCTGCTTACGTGTAAATGATGCTATATTTATTTTACAATAATATAAATTGTTTAGTTTAATCCTTTGTACTACCATTTATGAAGCACTATCGAACATAAAAAATAAAAATTTAAAAGTCAACTCTAGCAACGATTGACAGTGAAAAATAAAAAACGGACTTTTATATAATTTAACTTTCGCAGAAATTCGATTATTAGTAAACTCTTTGCTCCACCATCTAGTCCGAGTCTACAATTCATTTCATAAGCCATCACTAGTGAAGGCCCACCGTGCTTAGATTCTCCGACTTTTCTACATAATTCGAGAGAATTGGGCTATTTATAATGGAGCCAACTTATTTCTGTCTTCACGCCCTAATTTACGAATTTGCCGCAATGCAATGGCTTAAAGTTGATATTGAATTCGACCATTTACATCTCATTTCTTATTCATGCAACCAATAATATAAAGTGAAGTCCATAAGAAAGAAAACTTTTCCATCTTCGTCTTCTTTTACTAGATGTACGTGGGTTTCAGGTCTCGTGTACAGAACATTTATTTACAAAAGTGTGAACTCAAACCAGCTAAAGAAGAACAATTTAACTTCGCATATTTAACAGGTTCACTTTGCGCTGTCTTTAAAACGGATAGAATTCTATATTACCTCCAGATTCTTCAATAAAACTCCAAGAAATCGTATAAAACGGGACCATTGAAACAAAAATGAGAACGAACACATTCATGATTAGACCCGACGTTTTAAATTAAACAAACTAGAAAGTTGCGCCATTAATAAAATAATTGCGTGGGCGGGAAAATGACAAAATGTCAAATATTAGTGTTCACGAAAACAACGTTGCCTAAAACGTTTGGTTTTCACTGAAATAATTATTTTAATTTGACGAGCTTTTCACCATTGTGATATTTTCTATTTAGAAACTTACGCCAATGTACATAAAATAAATTGAAATTAAATTTATTTAATTTTACCAGTCTACAAAGACAGATTATAGGGGTATTAACATGAAAATCTTTTGATAAGTCTACTTACATTTCACTATTTATAATCGGGTTAAAAAAATCTTAGTCTGGAACTGGATCTGCGGTATCAACAGTTATATTTTTATATATTATTGAATTATATGCGGAATCATGTAGTATTTATTAGTTTTAGCATTTCGTTTTAGCCATTTTCAATTCTCTGTGAAAATATTTGCACGTAAATCACACTTCTTGTTGAAAAGTTTTTTTTTGTTGTTACCACGTTATTACCATTTCCCTTTAGAGACTAACAGCGCTAAAATAACGGGTGGAGAGAGTGCAGATAAAACATTGTGTAGTACTAAGGAAAACAGCAACTCTACTTATGCCTGGATTCACATCTTATGAATGTTTGTTGACTGGGCGTGGCCTTGTATGTAATATCTCCGGACTATCGATCCGGGCCATTGCCACAAAACACGCTCCGCACTTTGAGCCATGGGGCGCTATAAAAGATAATGTTAAAGTTCATTATTCGATAGGACAAGAGTAGCCCAAAATCTGGCGGTAGGTGCTATTGACAACCTGTCTTTCGTCTAATCTATCAGTTCAATATTATTGAGAGCTATACGCAGGTGATAGTTTTGTAGCAAAACAAACAAACAAATAAACACGTGTCTGGAGTTCCTTGAAAACATATAGCATGTAAATTCCATAAGATATGGACTGTCCATAAGTATGTACATTCTATAAGATATAAACTGTCCATAAGGAATGTACAATCTATAAGATATGGACTGTCCATAAGGAATGTACATTCTATAAGATATGGACTGTCCATAAGATATGTACATTCTATAAGATATGGACTGTCCATAAGTAATGTACATTCTATAAGATATAGACTGTCCATAAGGAATGTACATTCTATAAGA